AAAAAAAAAAAAAAAATACAAAAATTAGCTGGGTGTGGTGGTAGGGCACCTGCAATACCAGCTACTCAGGAGGCTGAGGCAGGAGAATCACTTGAACCTGGAAGGCTAAGGTTGCAGCAAGCCAAGATTGCACCACTGCACTCCAGGCTGGGCAACAGAGTGAGACTCCATCTCAAAAAAAATAAATAAAAATAAAAATAAATAAATAAAATAAATGAGGAGACAGAAGCACAGAAAGGGTAAGAAACTTGCCCCAGGTCACATATCTGGGAAGTGGAAAGCTGAGATTCAACCCCAGGCAGGCTGGTTCTGAACCCTGGCTGGATACTGCCTCCAGGAAAACGGGTCTAGTGGGAGGGGTAGAAGCTTAAAACCAGCTTCCTCTCTGGCTTCAGGAGAGACGAGGCAGCCCAGTGCTGGGGGTTGGGGGAGGCTGATGGTCCTGAGGCATCCTTCACCTTGGAGATGTATTGCTGGCAGATCATATGCTCTCCTGGCTTGATCTCTCGGGGATTTCGGGTGATGAAGATGCCACGTCCCTGACAGCCACTGTCTGGCTTGCAGATATACGTGTGGGCTTTTCGCTGACGACCGTAGGACTGGAAGTCCCCATAGCTATGTGCAGAGAGGGCCTGGTCAAAACGTTTCTGTGCATCATGGCTGGCCCGGGGCCCCACGGAGCTCTTCCTGCTATCTAGTCCATGCTCTTCGTGGAACCCTCAGTCTCAGACCCTCTTTTCTTTGGCCCGCTGAAACTTTTTTCCACTTCCATCCCTCTGAGACATTCCTAGGTCACAAGGCCAGAGTCTGGAGAGAACTCTGAGAGCGACCCTTTTCCTTCCCATGGTATCTCAGTATGGGAATGAGCCCACTCACTCTGCGGGGAGGCACCAGGTGCGGGGGAAGATGTTGTACTCAGAGGGGTAGAGTTTGTGCATGCGGTTGAGGTTCCGAGCCAGCAGATCTTTGCGACAGATTTCTGTCATGCCAGGGAAGTGGTTGATTTTCTGAAACACAGCCAGTTAGTTATTCTAGCCCCAGAGTAAGTTGCAGTTCCTAGAGGAGGATTGGGAAGGTCAAGGGAGAAGTCACAGTGGAGGTACGCACTGCACCAAGGACCCCGAGGCAAAAATAGGAAGATTCCCTAAGGCAGGTGAGCAACCCCTCCGTGGCCTCTACCCGACACACACGCCCACACCGAGCTCAGCAAATGAGGGGCAGCAAGGAGGGATGTACCAGCCAAGACTGTGGGCCTTCCAGCCACCTTCCAACATCCCTCAGCCCACCAGGCCTAGTTCTAAACCAACAGCTGCTGCTCCATAGCACAAAGCAGACAATGAGACGAAAGCACTTCCCAAAAGACACAAACGAGAAAAGGAAACTAAGAACCAGCCTCAAGGAATGTGGTGCTGTGGTGCCATGGCACCCAGAGAGGGTGTGGCATCGCCCAGGTGCCTGCCAGAAACCCCCAGCTGCTCTGTCCTGTGCGATGAGAGGCAGCATCTGAGATGCCACCAGGCAAAGAGCAAATAATGAGATAGGATGTGCCCACCAGACATTTCCTTCAGGTAATTCCAGGGGCCGAAGAGGAGAATCCTTCCACTGGAAAAGAATACCCTGGGGGCGGTCTTTCCCGTCCGAACGGGGGGACAGTCACAAAGAGCAGGCTAAATGCTCTTTTTTTTTTTTTTTTTTTTTTTGAGATGGAGTTTCGTTCTTGTTGCCCAGGCTGGAGTGCAATGGCACGATCTCAGCTCACTGCAACCTCTGCCTCCTGGGTTCAAGCGATTCTCCTGTCTCAACATCCTGAGTAGCTGGGATTACAGGCATGTGCCACCATGCCCGGATAATTTTGTATTTTTAGTAGAGATGGGGTTTCTCCATGTTGGTCAGGCTGGTCTTGAACTCCCGACCTCAGGTGAACCGCCTACCTTTGCCTCCCAAACTGCTGGGATTACAGGCGTGAGCCACCACGCCCAGCCTGCTAAGTGCTCTCTTAGATACCCTTCCTAACACTGAGACTACCGGCTTTCCCAATCACTGGCTGCACTCACTGTATGGACTGAGTACTTCTGACCCTCGACGTCCTAACCAAGGAATATTTGCTGCCCAGGGCTGTTCTTGAGGATTTAATGCGGTAATAATATGAAAGCACTTAACACAGGGTCTGTTGAACAGACCCTGTACCCCCATCTAATTTTTGTATGGTCAGGCTGGGTGTGGTGGCTCACACCTGTAATCTCAGCACTTTGGGAGACTGAGGCGGGTGGATTACCTGAGGTCAGGAGTTTGAGACCAGCCTGGCCAACATGGAGAAACCCCGTCTCTACTAAAAATACAAAAGTAGCTGGGTATGCTGGCGCGTGTCTGTAATCTCAGCTACTTAGGAGGCTGAGGCAGGAGAATTGCTTGAGCCTGGATCCCGAGGTCTCCTAATGGATGTGGAATGCTAAGCTGAGTTACTGAGAAGGCTGGATCATTCAGCTGGCCCTGCTGGTAGCTCTGAAGCTGCCTTCCAGTATTCTCCCTAAGATGGGCTCCCCCACCCGGAAGAGAGCCAGTTACATATAGATGCCACCAAGCAAAGCGCAAATAATGGGACAGGATGTGCCCACCAGACACTTCCTTTGGGTAATTCCAGAGACCTAAGAGATCTTTCCATTGCAAAAGAAAACCCTGGTGTGGGAGTCTTTCCTGTCTGTACAGAGGGGCAGCCACAAAGAGGAGCAGTCTTGGGTATCTGGGCAAGGAGATGGGAATAGTCATTCTGGGACGCTAGTCCTGTAGGCTCTTAGGCCAAGAGATTGGTACCTGAAACCTCTTCATTTCCATGACTCGGTCCAGCGAGACAGCGCAGTCTGTCCAGTACACAGTCCACTCTTCCTCCTCCCCCACCTCCTTCAGGCCACACATGTGGGCTGCCCGACGCACTGCAGAGACAGGGAGTTCAGTGGTGCCAGCACGTACACCAGCAGCAAGCCCTGGAACTGTGGAGCTGGGTCAGCTGAGGCACACACCTGACCCAAGGGCAGGCTGAAGATGGAGGTAGTTCTCGCCTCAGCCCTGACTTCAGTGACCACATGGCAATTTCAAGTTCTTGGGGGTTGTCAGGGCCCTTCCAAAATACCTGGCAGAGAAAACTAGAGCCTGGTTCTTTTGTTTTTGGTTTGTTTTTGAGACACAGTCTCGCTCTTGTTGCCCAGACTAAAGTGCAATGGCATGGTCTCAGCTCACTGCAACCTCTGCCTCCCAGGTTCTAGCAATTCTCGTGACTCAGCCTCCCGAGTAGCTGGGATTACAAGCGGGCACCACCACCACTGGCTAATTTTTGTATCTTTAGTAGAGATGGGGTTTCACCATGTTGGCCAGGCTGGATCTCGAACTCCTGACCTCAGGAGATTCACCCGCCTTGGCCTCCCAAAGTGCTAGAATGGCAGGCGTGAGCCACAGCACCCGGCTGCTCCTGTCAGTCTTCTTTCTCAATCAGGGCTGTTTATGGCTTGGAGAGCTGCCTATAGGTAGGGGATCACACTGGCACTTCATACTCCACATTTGGGATGGTCCCTTACACAGATGACAGAGGGAATATTAGGGGAAGGACCTAGGTGGCCATTTTTTTTTTCTTAATTGCTGAAGCCCCTTCAAACTGTCCTTGAAAAAACTGTTTTGGCTGGGTGTGGTGTCTCAGGCCTGTAATCCTAGCACTTTGGGAGGCCGAGGTGGTGGATCACCTGAGGTCAGGAGTTCAAGACCAGCCTGGCCATCATGGTGAAACCCCATCTTAAAAAAAAAAGAAAAGGAAAAAAAACTGTTTTAACCTTGTTTCATCTCTGGTAAATTAATCTGCCCAAGGGGATGGCATGGTGGCTCATGCCTGTTAGCCAAGGGCTTTGAGAGGCTGAAGTAGAACACTTGAGCCCAGGAGTTCAAGACCAGCAGAGGCAACATAACAAGACTTTGTCTCTACAAAAAAAAATCTTAGAATTAGCTGGGCAGGCTTGGCGTGGTAGCTCATGCCTGTAATCCCAGCACTTTGGGAGGCCAAGGCAAGTGGATCACCTGAGGTCAGGAGTTCAAGACCAGCCTGGCCAATATGGAGAAACTCCGTCTCTACTAAAAATATAGAATTAGCTGGATGTGGTGGCACTTGCCTGTAATCCCAGCTACTCAGGAGGTTGAGGCAGGAGAATTGCTTGAACCTGGGAGGTGAAGGTTGCAGTGAGCCAAGATCACCTCATTACCCTCCAGCCTGGGCAACAAGAGTGAAACTTCATCTCAAGGAAAACGAAATAGGAATTAGCTGGGCATAGTGGTGCAGGCCTGTAGTCCCAGCTACTGGGAGGCTGAGATGGGACAATGGTTTGAGCTATGATCGCAATACTGCACTCCAGCCTGGATGACAAAGCAACACTCTGTCTCAAAAATAAATGAATACAATCTGGGAAGGGTGGGGCAGTGGTGGCTCTTGGACATCTTCTTTTCTTGTTTGCTAACTGTAGAGACACCCTCCCTAACACTGAGACTACCTGGAACAGCAGTGTCTCAGCTGCCAGCATCTGAGGCAGAGGACACCTAGGAAGTTCAGTGCAGGTTCTAGGCAAGCCTGCCAGGGCCCAGGGGCTGGAAGCCTGTTTGGGGGTCCATTCCAGAGGAAGAGCAGCTGCAGGCGCCCTCTTAGACACCACAGTGTGAGCGACGGGCTGGGTGCTTACCGCTCTCATACTTGCAGTTGGTCAGGTTGATGGCCAGGGATCTGGAATGCAGGAATAGCATAAATCAGGCAGGGTGGGAGGGAAGGACAGACACCCAACAAATTCACAACCCAGTTCCTTTTCTCTAGCGCCACTTGAAGTAAAGACCAGGATGATATGAACAGGCTGGGATTCCAAAATCAGTCAGCCTCAATGGTTCTGAATTTTGTTTTT